CATGAGTTAATAATTTTCATTATAACATTGTGAAAAATAGCCAATGCTGGAACTAAAGTAAATATCAAACAGCAGTGAAACTGAATAAAAAATATGGTGTAATTTTACATCACAGTACTATGCCATATGTATACTGTGTTTATTAATGTCACCAATGAGAAAATGTTAATGATAAGTTGTAATCTTAAAAAAATGATGGTATAAGAGCAGTGAATATGTATGTAAGGAATAAGAGAATTAAGAGAACATGCATATTTAGAAGGTCTATGGCATGTCTGAGTATGAAGAAATCAGAGATCAAAGACACTGATGGAGTAACCTGAAAGGCATGCTGCAAAATATCCCAATGCAGGAAAGAAGCTGTATCTCTCCCAGCTACTCACAAAGAACAGAGGAAGGAACCATTTTGCAGCTATAGCCTGGGGGCCAGTAGCTGGAGGGGTGGGGCGGGGGGTTAGGGTTGGGGGGGGGGTTTGGGGTTGGGGGGGGGGTGGGGGGTGGAGGGGTGGGGGGGGGGGGGGGGTAAGGGGAGCAATTCCAGGGAAACTCAAGTTGAGCTGAAAATACAGGCCTGGAAATCCCACACCATATGACATAGAGAGCACCTATGTGACCAGAAGAAAAATCAAATGTGGAGAGGGATTTACACATGGGAAAACAGGATGAGGAAACCCACAGGACTCCCCCTTCCCCCATGACTATGGTGGCTTGCAGGACCAGCTGGGAGAGAAGCACCCAGATAGGAATTAGAAAGGGCAAATGCAGAGTTTGGAGAATGAACCCAAGAGAAAAGGGAAATGGCAGGGTCTGCAGGTGACAGAGGGGAATAAGGATTGGCTCTTCCCCCACATGAGTGGAACCCAGGAAAGATCCCTGGGATGTAGTCTCATGGACCAGCAACTGCTGAGCCTTAGAGGTGCACTGATTTAAAATCTTCAGACCAATCAACATTCAACAAAGAACCAGGAGTCTACCTAAGCCTAACACCACCAACAGCAGCTCTGCCTATAGGATTTCCTCTCAGCTCCAGCAGCCCCACCTGAACAGGGAAGAGATATCACATTCCCTTGGTCCCCCCCTAAAATGTAAAAACCAGCAAAGGAAGTAACTACACTAGGAAAAACCAGAAATAAACTGACAAGGAATAAAAATAATTTTTTAATAACACTAGCCAAAATTCATCAATCAAAAGACACAACTGGCAGATTGGATTAAAAAACAACACCCAACAATATGCTATCTCCAAGAGACTCACCTCATAGAAAAAGACATCCAGATACTGAAGGTAAAAGAAGAAGGAAAAATATACCATTCATGTGGATCTCGTAAATAGGAAGGAGTTTCTATCCTCATAGCAGATCAAGTGGACTTCAAGCCAAAGTTATTCAGAAAGTACAAAGAAGGTCATTCCATATTGCTTAAGAAAATTGTACATCAACAAGATATAAGAATCCTAAATATATATGCCCCCCAAAATGGAGCATCTATGAACATCAAACAAACTATCATAAATATCAAAAATAAAACAGACCACAACACAATAATACTGGATGACTTTAACACACCTCTCTCATTGCTGGATGAATCTTCTAAACAAAAACTAAATAAAGAAGCTATGAAGAGAAAGGAAAGCATGAGGAGCGCCACCAGCGCAGCCATGCAGCACCATGAGCACCCACCATCCGCCCTGTCCCATCTGCCCAGTCCTCCAGACTTTAACAGACTTATTCCAACAATCTGTTAAAACATGATGGATTACTGTAAAGTTCTAGGCGTGCAGAGACATGCCTCACCCGAAGATATCAAAAAGGCATACCGGAAACTTGCACTAAAGTGGCATCCAGATAAAAATCCTGAGAATAAAGAAGAAGCAGAGAGAAAATTCAAAAAAGTAGCTGAGGCATATGAGGTGTTATCAGATGCTAAAAAACGGGACATCTATGACAAATATGGCAAAGAAGGCTTAAATGGTGGAGGTGGAGGTGGAAGTCATTTTGACAGTCCATTTGAGTTTGGCTTCACATTCCGGAACCCAGATGATGTCTTCAGGGACTTTTTTGGTGGAAGGGACCCATTTTCCTTCAACTTCTTTGAAGATACTTTTGAAGACTTTTTGGGGAACCGAAGAGGTCCCCAAGGAAGCAGAAACCGAGTTGCAGGCTCGTTTTTCTCCGCTTTCCGTGGATTTCCAACATTTGGAGGTGGATTTTCTTCATTTGATAAAGGATTTACTTCATTTGGGTCACTAGGTCATGGTGGCCTTACTTCATTCTCTTCTACATCATTTGGTGGCAGCGAAATGGGTAACTTCAAATCAATATCAACTTCTACCAAAATAGTAAATGGGAGAAAAATCACTACAAAAAGAATCATTGAGAATGGTCAAGAAAGAGTAGATGTTGAAGAAGACGGCCAGTTAAAGTCCTTAAGGATAAATGGTAAGGAGCAGCTGCTAGGCTTGGATAACAAGTAATTCAATGCACGCATTAATGTTATATAACAAGCACCATTTGAGGATTAAAAGGAACGTTTTTTTAAAGATTTCAGACGAACTCAACTTTCAGTATAATTGTACCTAATCTAAAGTATTTATAAACAGCTCATCGGAGCCCCTATCTGTCATAGAGTTTATCATTGGGACCACACAATAGGACCATTTTTTTTTTGTCTTTAAAATTGTTGTAATCTCTGTATGAACTTTGCTTTTTTATTAAATGTAATCCAAAGTGAGCCTTGACTTTGAGTAGTGCTAGGACAAGATTGTATTCTAACACCAGCATGGATCTGCTTCCCATTGTGAGCCAAGTAGTGTCAGCCTTCTATGAGCTAACATTGCCAGGATGAGGCTCCTGTAGAAGTAATTTGGTTTTGTTTTTTTTCAGTATTTAGTAATGAAAGATATTAATGCATTAATGGTAATACATTTCTGGTTTAAATTTAAGGATAAATTTAAGGATGTTTTCTAGTTGTGCATGAATGCTGGCAACTTAGTAAAGTTTTGACAATTGTTTAAATATGTAATGTTAAGCTTAGGTTTAAAAATCTGGTAAACTGGGTCTTTGTCATTTGCTTAAAAAAAAAAGAAAAGAAATATGAATGTGTTTGGTGCATTTTTTCCTGAAAAAAAAAAGAAGTTATGAAACTAGAAAAACAATAATTTATACTTAACAGACATACATAGAATATTTCATCCATCAGTGACTGAATACAATTTCTTCTCAGCAGCATATATATCCTCTAAAATAGATGCTAACTTAGGCCAAAAAGCAACTCTTAGCATATATTTAAAAAAAAAAAAAAAAAAAAACAGAGATAATACTGTGCATTCTGTTAGATCATAATGCAAGGAAATTAGAAATAATAAAATAAATAATAGAAGATAACTCTAATGCTTGTAGACTACATATACACTATTGAATGACCAACAGATAGTGAAGAAATAAGGGGTGAATTTAAAAAAATACTTAGCGGTAATTGAGAACAGCAACACAGTAAAATCTCTGGGACACTAGGAAGATGGTTCCAAGAGAGAAAGTTATAGCATTAAGCTCATGCATTAAAAAAAGTACAAAAATCACCTTATTTATAACCTAATATTTCATCTCAAAGCCCTAGGAGTAGAAAAACAAATGAAACACCAAAAGCAGTAGAAGACAGGAAATAATTAAATTCACATATGAAATCAAAACAGAAAAATAACAATTCCAAAAATCAACAAAACAAAAAGTTGGTTCTTTGAAAAAAATACATAAAATTGAAAAATGCTTAGCCAAGCTAACCAAGAGAAAGAGGGAAAAATTCAAATTACTAAAATTTGTGATCAAAATACACATGATAATCAGAAACTATTTTGAAAATTTATACTATAAAAATAGAAGATCTTAAGACATTGACAATTTCTGGAGAAACATGACCTACCCAAACTGAATCAGGAGAACACAGAAAATTTAAATGAACTGATTTAAAGCAATGAAATTCAAGATGCTATCAAAAGTCTATCAACAAAAAATCCTAGGACCACATCAAATCTTAGCAAAGTTCTACTAGACATTCAAAAAAAAAAAATCTTGCTAGAATTATTCCATAAAATAGAAAAGGGAACCATTATAAACTCATGCTATGAAGCCAATATCACCCCAATGCCAAAACCAGACAAAGACACATCAAAGAAAAAAAACTTCAGAACAATATCCCTAATACACACAGATGCAAAAATTCTTAATAAAATGCTGGAAAATCACATACAAAAATATTTTAAAAATATAGTGCACACCTGTAATCCCAGCAGCTCAGGAGGCTGAGATAGAAGAATTCACATTTCTTTTCTTTTCAAAGCCAGCCTCAGCAACGACAAGGCACTAAGCAACTCAGTGAAACCCTGTCTCTAAATAAAGTACAAAATAGGACGGGAATGTGGCTCAGTAGTGGAGGATCCTTGGTATCCCCCCCCCACCAAAAAAAGTGCACCATGCATGATCAAATGGGTTTCATCCCAAGGATACAAGGTTGGTTTGACATTACTGAAATCAATAAATGTATTCACCACATCAATAGATTTAAAGGCAAAAATCATATGACTATCTCAATAGATGCAGAAAAGCATTGGACAAAATATAGCATCCATTCATGTTCAAAACACTAGGAAAACTAGAGATAAGTGAAACATTCCTCAACATTGTAAAAGCTATACATGTTAAACACAAGGCAAACATAATTCTAAGTCGAGAAAAACTGAAAGCATTTCCCCTAAAAACAACAACAAGACAGGCCCTCATTCACCACTTCTATTCAACACAGTCCTTGAAATTCTAGCCAGAGCAATTAGGCAAAGGAAAGAAATTAAAGGGATATGAATAGAAAAAAAAAAAAAAAGAGGTCAAACTATCCCTATTTGTTGATTCTATATTTAGAAGAACCAAAAAATTCCAACAGTAAACTTCTAGAACTCATAAATCAATTCAACAATGTAGCAGGATATAAAATTAACACCCACAAAGCAACTGCATTCCTCTACACCAACGATGAAGCAGCTGAGAAAGAAATTAGGAAAACTTTCCCATTCACACTAGCCTCAAAGATAAAATAAAATACTTGGGAATCAATCTAACAAAAGAGGAGAAATCTCTACAATGAAATCAACAGAACACTAAAGAAAGAAATTGAAGACCTAAGAAGATAAAAATACCTCCCATGTTCTTGGATAGGCAGAACTAATATTGTCAAAATGGCCATACAACCAAAAGCACTACACAGATTCAATGCAGTTCCCGTCAAAATACCAATCATGATCTCAACAGAAAATATGAAAAGCAGCCATGAAATTCATTTGCAAACATAATAGGCTCAGAATAGCCAAAGCAATTCTTAGGGAGAAAAACTTAGCAATTAGCATCATAGTACCAAATGTTAAATTATACTACAGAGCTCTAGAAATAAAAAAAAAAAAGCATGGTATTGACACCAAAACAGACATAAAGACCAATGGAACAGAAAAGAAGACACAGAGACAAACTCATATAAACACACTTATCTCACACTAGACAAAGGCACCATAAATATATATTGGAGAAAAGATAGCATCTTCAACAAACGGTGCTGGGGAAAGTGGAAATCCATATGTAGCAGAATGAAATCGAACCCCTATTTCTCATCCTGCACAAAACTCAACTCAAAGTGGATCAAGGACCTAGGCATTAGATCAAAGATACTGTGTCTATCAGAAGAAAACTTTCCATCATGTTTGCTTAGGAATCAACTTCCTCAATAAGACTTCTAAAGTGCAAGAAGTAAAATCAAGAATCAATAAATGGGATGGTATCAAACTTAAAAGCTTCTTCACAGCAAAGGAAACAGTCATGAAAGTGAACAGAGAGCCTACAGAATGGGTTAAAATCTTTACCACCTGAAACTCAGAGCATTAATCCCCAGGATACATAAAGAACTCAAAAAACTTAACATGAAAAATATAAATAACTCAATCAAGAAATGGGCAAAGCAACTGAACAGACACTTCACAGAGAAGAAATATAGGGGAAAATGTAATAAAAAGAGTTCAATATCAGTAGCAATTAGAAATGCAAATTAAAACTACACTGAGATTTCATCTCACTTCAGTCAGAATGGCAATTATCAAGAATGCAAGTAACAATAAATGTTGGCAAGGATGTCAGGGAGAAGGTACACTCAGACATTGTTGACAGCAATACAAATTGGTGTAGCCACTCTGGAAAGCAGTGTGGAGATTCCTCAGAAAACTTGGAATTGAACCACCATTTGACCCAGTTATCACATCCCATGGTATATATCCAAAGGATTTAAAATCAACATACTATAGTGAACTGGCCATATCAATGTTTATAGTAGCTCAATTCATAGTAGCTAAGCTATGGAACCAACCTAGAAGCCCTATAACAGATGAATGAATAAAGAAAAGGTGGTATATGTACACAATTGAATATTACTTGTGCATAAAAAGAATGACAACGACATTTGCCAGTAAATGGATGAATTTAGAGATTCTCCTGCTAAGTGAAATAATCCCAAAAAACCAAAGGTTAAAAACTCTCTCCGATATGCAAATGCTAACACTCATCACGGGGTTAGGGGAAAATAGAAATTCAGTGGATTAACAAAGGGGAATGAAGGGAAGGGTTGGAGGATGGAAACAGAAAACTTAAGTCGAATAAATCAGACACATCTTCTTAAGTTCATATATATCACCATTGAAACTCCACATTAACAACCACAAGAATGGGATCCTAATTAGAATAAGTAATAATCCATAATTATCATGTCAAAACATACTGTACTGTCATATATATCTAAAAAGAACAAATAAAAAAAGAAAATAACTACAAAGGGAAGCTTTTACTGATATATAACTTTTCTCCTAATTATTTCAGTTAGGAAATATTACTGTTTTTTTAATTTTTTAAGATGTTGATAGATGTTTATTTTATTTATTTATATGTGGTACTGAGAACCAAAACCCAGTCCCTCACACATGCTAGGCAAGCATTCTACCAGAGCTACAACCCCAGCCCCCAGAAATATTAAACTTAAAAAAGAAAAGCTAAGAAGTTATATTCACACCTTCTGAACTTTGAAAATATTATTCAAAAATTCAGATTTTTAATTGCAACCCATTTATTCCCCTTTGATAAGAGTATCAGTAACATGTATTAAGTGTATGTTCTGTGCCCATCAGTTTTCTAGTTGGTCTTTCATATAAATGTTTTATTTTTACAAGATCCCTATACAGTACCATTATCACACTTTAAAATTTAAGGTAATTAAATCTCAGAGCTAAGATCAACTCCTCAAGGTCTTCCAGGTAATTACTGGATGTCTCAGACCTGTCAAGTACACCTGGCCACAAAAGCTATACACTATCCTACCTTCTACAATCTCATGCTATATAGTACAATGCTAGATAGTCAATAAAAATTACCAGTGTGGAAAACACTGAATGATAACAATAATCA